CTCATCTATTTGCATAATTAATGGAACAAGCCTGAGATGAGAAATGAATATCTGAAATCAGTCATAAGCTTCGGTTTCATACTGTATTCATTTTGGTAAAGTAAGTAAAGCAAGGATAATGCAAATACAAATTAGCAAGTCTTATGACAATTTAATTTGCTATCTGTACGCCGAACAGGAGAATCTGAATAACAAAACTGCACGGGTCGATGCAAAAACTAATAAAACCAGTCAGAAGGAAAAGTTTAAACATAATATCATCTCAATTGGTCTCATTTGCGTTTCATTTTGAGCGGTTATTTCTTCTTGGAGTAATAACGATGGTTTCAAGTGCTTTTCGTGGCAATAAAATAATGCAATTACGTCTCATTGTTAGCGGAAACTTACAGAATGTCTATTGATAATAAATAGTGGAAGATTTGAGATTCAATTTGGCTTTAATAGTATTTCATTTTTGTGTCAATATAGCATTTTTTGAGCCACTAGTATTTACAGTTAAAAATACATGTTTATCAGAAATTTTCCAATAATTACCTGTTCATTTATTGAACACATTCGTCCGGCTTCCTTAAAGACTATCTAACGTAATTGTACATGCCACTTCACCAGATCCAACACAATTTATTGCCAAACAGGCCATCTAAATAAATCCGATGGTAAAATAGACACTCTATAGATATAATCTCAGTAATAAAAGGGGCCAACGACAGCTTCCTTTCATATATTGGCCAGAAAAATCTCTAAAAATGGTCTGGAAAATCTTATCAGTTTTATTGCTGCAATAACTCGTTTAACCAAATAGCAGGAGTCACTACCAGTAAAAAAATGTATAAAACGAAATAGGGTCGAAAAATCGGATACAATAGTGACTTTCGTCGTAAAACCCCGAGAAATTGGAAACCCAAATCGACACTTGAAAAGAAAAGGACATTTGGGAGGGTTTTTAACTTTAGTAGTCAGGATTATAATTGAGAATAAATATGAAACCGATCCTAACAACCCCAATTTTAAAATTTGAATGTTTGAGTTTTTCCTTGGAATTACCATATTTTAAATATGCAAACAGAAAATCTGGAAATCGACTGAACTTCTTTGAGATGATTGGATGCTGTATTTTTGTTAGTCTCTTATTATAAGCATCGATGTTAAACCTACATGATCTTTTAATTATCAATTTTAAAAAAATGTATCAAAAAATTTTGTGCTGTTTTATTAATCTTGTTATTACAAGTTTACATGCATTGTCAGTTAGTCAATTTAAAGTGAAGATTAATTAAATCAACGATTGTAACGAAAAATATTGCTAAACACTTGTATAAGCCCTAATCAATTAAGTACACGTTGTTGCCAATCAAACTCATTCGGAATCCAATACGACAAAATGTGTAACATTTTTAAATTACATATTTAATAATTTCAATTTTAATTTAAACATGGATCGAGCTGCATATCTGTGACAGGCAGAGAAACAAATTGATTTGTGCCCGTTTGTACTATTGATGCGTGTACATTTTAAAATGTATCTTTTTTATTATTAATGCTTTGAAGCCGAAAATAGAAATATGTGCACATATCAATATTAGGCAAGTACTTAACTTGCAAATTTATTTTATATGAAACCTTTCGGTTTTTTGTTGAAGCGTAAATGTTGAAAAATAATGCTAGGTAGATTGCAAAATTTCAAATAGAGCGATAACGAATATAAGTGTAGTTTTAGCAATTGCGCAAATAATTGTATATTTGTAATTTCTTTGTATTTTTAAGTGTTTTACCAAATACATACATATTTTCTATTTTAACAAGATCTATTAAAATTAAGGTAACGTGTTTTTTATCTGATCAGTTTCCTATATAACTTTTTATACCAGTTTTGTAGCGCTTTTTCTTCACTGCATATCCCTATTCACCCACAAACCGAATCTCTGTTTCTTCTCTCCTCTCTTTCTCTGTTTCCATTTGAATACAATTTTTGCTCTAGTAGACATGAATACATGAATTAATTCCTTAATATTTTGCAACATTTGTATATACTTATTTCAACAATGTTAAAGGCAATTAGGCAATTGGTTTTTATTTACAATTTTCATTTAATCGATTTAAGTTTCATATAACGTACTCTCTGAAAGATCATATTTTCTTCAGTAATAATTGGATGCTAAATTGAACGGAATTGGTTTGTTGGAAAAATGGGCTAAAGGTTAAAGTTCCATCAATCTTCTTGAAATAATATTTTCCAGATACTTAACTTTTTAAAAGTGCGATAGAAAATCATATGTAATTACTTTTTTCCACATTAAATACGGAAGCAATAAGACCTGTATTTATTAAACTTAAAAATTCGATTTTTAAAGCAAATAAATCTTTTATTGAATTATATATTGTCCATGCGGGTTCAATAAATTTATTTATATTGTGGTGGCACCTTAATTGGTGGTGCATCCACCTGTTCTTTCAGCTAACTGGCATTAATTAAAATCATAATAATAAAATTACATACAAACTTAACATAACAATCAATTCAAAGTAAAGTAAGCTATTAAAAGATCTCATATGAAAAACAAGTTGTTCCCGGAAAACGGAATATATTTCCGAAACTTTTATCTTGATTCCGCGATATTTCTGTTGAAATAACATAAAAGGATTCCTTTACACAGCCAACAGTCTGTCGCTCGCGGTTTACTTGAAAAAACGACAAGGCAAAGTTGTTTTAATGTAAAATGTCATAACGATTTGGAATTCGATATATTTATGCGACTTGGCAAACTACTTTTATAAAGGATTCTCCACGAAATACATTTATTTGGAGCTTTATTTTTTACAGAGATTTATTTTGTCACGTTTTGTTTTATAACTTATTTGTTATACGGGGTGTCAATTTGAAAATTTCCCACCCTTAATATCTTTCTTGCAGTTTAAAATATTAAATATCGGAAAGCCCCGTAATATTATTCGCAAGGGGGACACTTTAAATAAATATTTTTAGCCTCCTTGTTTCAACTCCCTAGGACGATCGTCGACGACGACGTGAGATCTACCCGTCCTAGGGGGTTGAAACAAGGAGGCTAAAAATATTTGTTTAAAGTGTCTTCTTTACAAATAAAATTGACGAGTCTTTCGGATTTTTCATAATTCAGGAAAGATATTAAGGGTGGGAAGCTTATAAATAAAATTAGTAATTAAAGACACCTTGGATAACTTATACTTATATGTTCTAAAATGAGCATTTTATAGCAAAACATTTTAGTGTTATTAGAGGGTGTAAGTGAGCGTTTTTTCATGTTGACAATCAACTTATTTTCTCAGTTTTTAGAGCAAGAAAATTTTAAATTATTTAGCCAATTGAATTTACTTGGCTAAAATGGAACATGAATGTTTTCATGTTTCAGTTTAGCCAAGAAAATTATTTTAAAAAAAGTTTTAATAGAAATAAAGTTTTTTGTTTATCAGTTTGTAAATCAGAACTTTAGTCCAAACAACCCTTATCTGATAGCTTTATTCCAAAATACGGGAATACAGAAAGTTGAAAAAGACCAAAAGATAGACAACACTATTAAATAATTTAGTTGAATTCGTAAATAGGCGTTTCATGTGTTTCATTTATTTCTATAGTTCTTTTGTGTGTAGTTTTTCGAACGACGACGGCGTTGGACATCCGAGACGAAGTCGAGGGTGTCAATTTGCCAGGATCCGTGTCATAAACACGAACTGTAAATGCACAGTTTTGTCAATAGCCTCCAGTTGACAAAGAGTATATTCAGCTTTACGTATTTTATTTGATTATTTGCGTAATTATTTTTGAATATTTCCTATTTAAATGTTCGCAAAATAAGAGCTTGCAATAAAAGTTGTAGCATTTTTACATACCAGAAAGAAATTATTTGGAAAGCTGCTGAAACTTTCATATTGCCGTATTATTGGCAATACTTTCAGTGCTTCATTTTTGACCTGATTATACAGAATAAATAGTCTCTAATCTGAACGTGAGAAAGTTACGATTAATCTTGAATTGATTGATTGATGATTAATCTTGAATTGAATGAATTAAAGATTATATCAAAATGAATATATTGTAAGATGTAGGTACAAAGTTCATTAACAAAAAATCAATAAATATAGTAACACCAAAGATAGTTGATTTTAAAGATTTTAAAGAATCTGTAAATACACTTTCTTGCGGTCATCAGTCGTTTTTAGACTACCCGCAGCAGTTATACTCACTCTCAAGAAGCAGAAGCGCAACTAAGTATATCCTAACTTATAGTCTAAAACTACAACAAATATAAATATGACATTGCAGTTATAAAAGTGTCGTGGAGTTGGATCTAACTTTCCACGCGACAGACTGCCTTGGTTGTCTTCAAACTAGAGGCTAAGATAACAGAATTTCGAAAGTTTCCATCCAACAAAAGGGGAAGTTTGACAAGAAAGTTTTCGGTTCGTTTTCGACTTATTGTTTGTTCAATGACACCGCAATGATATTATCCTGTTTGTTTTTCATTAGCGCTGCTAATCTTATTGTCACATAGACAGTGAAAATACACCGGTTAAACAAACAATAATTAAGGGAGGTTGGATACACAGAGTTTTCGGATTTTATCGCAAATTGCCTGTCGGTTCTACACAAGAATCCCGGTTTGGAAACTTTTCTGCCATTATGTACATTTTATCGAAAGGAAACTAACGGTTCAAGGGAAATGCCGAAGAACAGAACAAAGCCGATTGTTAAGTAAAAGGCTATCAGGAATGCATCCGGAAAGAAAATCGAAATTCATTTATTAGTCTGCAGGCATAAATTTTGATTGAAGTTCTATACTTTAGTTACGTAACAATGAATTATTTATTGGGTAAGCCTGTTTTGTGCCACATGGTGGCCACATAAACAGCAAAATTTGATCAAATAATATTCATTTTATGATGATACTGCTAAATATTAATGTTAACTTTTATTGGTTTAATATGATACTAAATTAACATATTTTAATATATTTTTTTTGTTTCAGATTGTTGTTTTGAATAAGAATGTACGGAAAGAGCAGTTGTAGTTAAAGGTCAGATATTGTAGATAAGTTCTATATTGTTGAGGCGGATTCATTTTTTTACAAACTTCTTTTTGGGTATTTCGCCTAAAAAAATTTGTAACAATAGTAGGATAATACAATATATGAAAATTCGCTCTGATAATTCGTCTGTGCAAATTGTCAGTTATGTAATAATTGTAATAATAATAATCATATAACTGTCAATTTGCACAGACGAATTATCAGAGCGAATTTTCATATACTGTATTATCCTACTATTGTTACACAATTTATTAACATACTCTTTTTTGAGGTTCATTGAGGTTCTTTTGATAACGATAGCAGAAAATAGCTATCGAAACGTCAAGGTAGTTTGTCAAATTAATTTCTCTACTAGTTGGAATTTTCTCTTACAGCTTCAGCCTAAGTGTGTCGCAGGATACCCTCTAGGTGATAGTTCTTGATTACTTTTCGATAAATAATTCGTTCTTATTGCGAAATAGGAGCACTACTTATCAATCTGTAATAAAAGACGTGAGGAAATTCTGTTTTTTTTTAAGACAAAAAATGTTTAGGCAAAATACCCAAAAATAAGTTTGTAAAAAAATTAGATATTGTCTAATCAATAAGTATATTAGAACTCTTAGCTATTTTGCCAAGTGAAGCGCTGTTATAGCGTAAATGTAATTTCCAAGAAAACTGTATATAATACCGACAGGAAACACCAAGAGACGTTAATGAAAAAACATTCACATCCTTATATAAATTTTGATCAAAATTCTCGAAGTTATTTTGTAAATTAAAGGTCTATTATAACGGAACAAAATGAAACTCAATGTGTTTTAAACATTTGAATTTTCAAACTTCAAAATGTTAAGAGTGCGTTATTAACTTGTATTAAATGACTTCATTAGCTATGTCCACTTAACTGGTTTTTTTATCAAATAGTCGGTGTCCATATCGATTACAGATTTGAGGGATAGCAGCAGTTTGGTCCATTTTTTTGTAGCTTATTTTCAAATCAAAACGATGCAATTTTCGATTTTTCAATTACGGTACAGTTTTTAAGTGCCTACATATAAATCGTTGAAGAAAACATGATTTAAAAAAACTTTTTAAATTTTTACCAATTTATTACATCAATTAATTTAACGGGTCAAATAATCACCTGGGAAAATTTGCAGTCCAACAGATAATCCGTTCACAATTCCTCACCACACATTTATCGAAAATCGGTATTGAAAATTGCTTCTCCAAATTGCATAGCAATATGTGCGTTTCTGAAAATGTTAATTTCATTTCGAGTGAATGTCAGCAACGAGAATGTTGCTGAAAAATTGTCATTATTTTTTTTCTTTCATTAGTCATCTGTGGTGAAAATTTTCCGCTTTGTGGAAATGAGCTATTATTGACAGGCTGCAATATGTTTCTCAAAAAAGTTTGTCTCAATCATAACTCATTTTTAAAAGATCGAGAAAGAAAAAGGTTTTTGTGCACCCTTATAGGTTCCTCCGTTTTTATACTGACAGTTAGTAGAGAACAATAAAAAGAACGGTATTGCTTTTTCTTCACACTTGTCCTTTCAATTCTGTGCTTAGGGGTTGAAATTTTGATAATTTGTACTCAGCAATTGCTGCAGGAATTATGCTAAATTTAAAACCAATTGATTGAAGAAGGTATTGAATCAAAAATTGTTTAAAATATAAATTCAAAAGCAAAAAACTGTTATTTGCATTTCAGATATTACTTTTCTTATTTCAATTTCAATCGCCCTTTTAAGTTTTTGTGTATTATCTCAGAACATCCCTTATACAGTTAAAATAAAGTTTCTACTCAACAATAACATTGCGAAAAAGCCGTTGTGGTAAAAACCTTTTCAGGATTATCATTATCAATTTATATTCTAAAAAAGGTCTAAACAACTTTTAACTGAGTCAATTTTGATTAGTGACTAAAGCGTTTTAAGAAAATTCTATGACTATTTAACGCTCTTAATAACCTGAGAATTTAATAAAGCTGTTGATACAAAAAAGTATGTCTTAGAAAGTTTTCCCATATTTGTATCATCGTCTTGATTCTTTCCCTAGCTACACACGTATTTCAATTCCAAGTTTCTCAGTTTCCATATTAATATAGTTGAAGATTTGTGAATTACAGTACTTTATATTATGGTCTTACATGTGATTATACTTATTTATTATATTTTTAGTATGATACTTACATTATTGATTTTCTTGCGAGAACTAGCAGGTCTTCAGTTCATCCAGATCCTTATTCTTCATATGAGAGGCCCTCATTTGTCGGTTTACACTATTGGGAAAACAGCTTATTTGTTCTTATCGGGAGTAGGTAATACAGTTACATCATATTTTATAAACAATTTTTCACCGCGGGCTTTTTTGTGATATTTTGTGTTCCCTAGGATTTGCTTGGCGTGTCTTTAGAAGTAGTATCCTAGGTAAAAGTGGATTTAGTGTTTGTAATATTGAAAAATTAGCGTGTTCTTCTTTATTGGTCTTCAAATCCGTCATAGTTGTGAGTTTTTTGTGTTCGAAAATTTTTGACCATCTGGAACCATCACATGCCACATACTCTGCTCCTTCATCCTGTGCTTGCTGGAATGCATATTTTCAATACCGACCAAATAATTTCTGTCGGCTTTACCAACAACTGTATTATTCACGGGTTTAACGACTGGAATTTAAATTTTTCTAGAAGGGCTTCAGTTCAGAATTTTTTCTTGTCTTATATCAGTCATTCTAACTTTAGCAAAATGTGTACAGTAACTGCTCTCTGAGTAGGAAAGTTTTTACAAATCTGTTGTGCAGAAATTCTATGCGAATAATATTTTAATCTATTGACTATTTGAACTCGATTATAATCACGTTGTTTCGAAATATTTAAAACAATTACAAACTTTTTAGCTGCCGCATTTCAAAACATTCTGAAAACTAAAATTAATATTTCCATTTTAATATGGAAAAGTAATAATCCTCAATGCTATCATATTTCATGAATAACGGCCGTTAGTTTTCTCGCTCTTTATAAATCAATCAATTTTAGCCATCATGAAGACGGAGAGCGCTTGGAGAGAAAGGCCTACGAAATAATCCAATATTAAATTTGATATTGCAAATCCTCCATCGCGGATGAATTACAAATCGTATTTCCTTCAATAAAAGCCACACGAGCATGGATTTGCCGATACTTTTCCAATAATAGGAAGCCATATCTTCAAATTGCGTGAACTTTAATACCCGACCAGACAAAGTCGTAATTTGATCTACTCAAGCCATCAAGCCCACTGATAGGGGATACCATCTTATGTAGGGATTGATAAGCGTAAATTCGTCGTCATGTTTAGCATAAATATGTGGTTTCAACATTCAACCAAAATATTGAGGAATTCATTCATTAGGCAAAAAACTACAGTTTATTTGTCTGTTGTACTTAAGAATTTTTTCTTGATGTTTCGCAAGCACGAATGGTTTACATATTTAGTTTTTCCTGAAAAGCTAACACTGGACTGATCTTGGTCCAGACGTTTCGTTAGCACACCTGGCTAGGATCTTTATAGCTTGTTTATTATGGGACTACCAAAAAATTAAAATACGAAATTTTTGTTAAAAATAAATACTGTACCAACAGTCAACAGTTATGCAACTGTTTGCCCGATATGTACAATTTCAGTAAAAATACCCAACAGTAGAAAATTAATCCGATAATTCTGTAATTAACAGAATGACTAAAAACCCGCCGGGCGAACTTTTGCAAAAATACTTGTTGAATAATTTAAATCCGTTTGAACACAGATTTAAATAACTGGAACTAATTCGATTTGGAATATTCATTTTAGCGCCCTGAGAGGTTTGAGGCTGCAGCCTTTTAGTTTAATGCGTAACATATTCGGTCTTTGCTCGGCATTAAAACTGCCCATTGAACCACATTTTAATTATCAGCTCAAAGCACCTTTATTCTTACCTTTGTTTAGATATAATTTGATTTTACAAGAGTTTTTCACTGATTTAAAAACAAAACAGATACAGGGTGATTCATAATTGGCGTCATTCCTCTGGAGGTGTTGTCTGGCGATATTTTAGGGGTACCTACGGAAAAAATAGTTAAAAAATGTATTATCAAAAACTGCGAATTTTGCAAAAAGCTATATCAAAAAAACGGCAACAATGTTTTTCAAGGTAATCTGCCTAACTAACATTACGGAAACATCTGTTGCTTCCTAATTATTAAAAACTCCGGTAATCATGGATTTATACAGAAAGTGACAATAAAATAGCATTCGTATCATTCTCGCAAATGTAGAAAATAATTCAGATAAATTTAAGGTTTCAAGAAGGCAAAGACCTAAACGAACGTAATGTTTACCAATAATGAGATAAGTTTTTCAAATGTTTTGCTTTCCCAAAAGGAAGGGTTTTTTCTCTCAAGAACTGATGAATGTTTTAACGCTTTATAAATTACAGTTTTTATACAACATGTTTCAATTGTGAATTAGTGTTTGTAGTTTGTGTAAATTTTAAATCTGATGATGGCGCAGTTGTCTCGCCGAAACGTAATGAAATAAACGATATTCAAAATTGTTACTTCACACATTGACTGAGACCCAGGGAAGAGAAGAATATAATAACAATGAAATAGACAATGATAAACGGTAAATTCAACAGGATTCGTTGACTGTGGTAACACCTTTTTAAAATTTCAATTATTTTTCAAATTTCGAATGTATGTTCACAAATAAACACACATTTGAGTCAATAACTCGAAACAAGTTAGTGCCTGTTTAGTTTCCTTATTATCCACTCTTATCGAGCAGCTTCTCGTATTCGGTTAATTAACTTCTGCTCAATGTATACCGGTGTTCAGTAAACACTCGGTTTAATGTGTCCTTGTGTCCTGTGTATATTAGATACGTGGTAGGAATGAAGCCCTTCCTTGATATTTATTTGGTGCTTGGGAAAGTGTCAGTTATTGTGTTCTGAGTACCCCTGGAAAGCTCTCATGCAATTATGTCC